TGGTTTTCTCTTTTTCCCCCCCCCCCCCCCCACTGTCCCCACAGCCCCATTCTGCCTTCAGCATCCTTGTCCCTGTGCAGCTCCTCCTCCACAGTATTCAGAGTCCCTGACCCCTTCCTCCTTCAGTGCCCCTGCTGCCACCCATAATATGTAGAGTATCCACAGTCCCCCCACTCCCTTTTTCAGTACCCCTGCACTGCTCCTCCCCCACAGACCCCTACTTCCTTCAGTGTCTGTGTCCCTACATTACTTCCTCCCCCACATGGCCTCACTTCTAAATTTCCCTGCCCATACAGACATCTCTTTAGCATCATCTTATTTCTTCCTGTTCCTCTCCCTGCAAAGTTACCTCATACTTCCAGACACCCCTGCCTCCACACTTCTACTCCCCCATAAACACCTCCAGCATCCTTGCTCCTCATTGCTCCTCTGTTTCCAGAGAGACACCTCTCAGCAACCCAGACTTTTTTCCTGAATACTGATCCTCCCCATACTGAAGGGGTTCTCAAACTGGGGGGGGGGTCTAACTTTGTGACATTAGGTGGGGTGCTGTGAGTAGTCAGACCCCCTATCCTAACCCTACTTTACTTCTAGCATTTAAAATGGAGTTAATGTTCTTAATTCACAAGGGGAGTGTCACACTTGACTCCTTTCACACAGCAAGCCTCCACCAACACACAAGTGTGAGAACCACTGCTCTATATCAGCCTCCTCACCCCTAGCATCCACAGATACCTCTTTGCTCAGCACCCCCTTGCCGCCCCAAGAGAGATCCCTTCAACACCCACAGACCCCTGCCCACATAACTCCTCCCTCTTCAGCATCACCATTTCCCCAGGTCTCTCCACCAAATGATTCCTCTCAGCTCACCTGCCTCCCAGACATCTGGTCTCATATCAAACCTCTTCATTTCTGTGTGATCTGGAAATCCCCATATCCTTTCCCATCCCCTCTTATGTGACCCTTGTCCCACAAAGATTCTTTCCCCACTCAGAACATCCTGTTTCTGACTGTCCCCTAATGTGATCACCCCACTCACTATGACTCTTGCTGATCCCCTGTTTGATTTTTTCCCTTCTGCTGTGGCACTCTGACACTTCCATAGACTCATTTATGTTAAGGGACCACCTTTCTCTCCACCCTGTAGCCCTCTCTTGTGTTTAATTCCCTGTTGCTCATGTGCAACCCTCCCTTCCCCGGTCTACCTTTAGTGTGGACTCTTGCCTGTTGAGTCTGATCCCTTATTTATTAATTTCCCTGGTTTTACATCTTTATTCTCTAGCCAGCACAACCTGTTAAATTCCCAGCTTGTCTCCTGTTGCCTCCATCCCTGGTTATATGCAGTGTTCCCTTGATGTACAAGCCCTCTTCATCTCTTCTCTCTCCTGGATTACATCTTCTCTCATGCGAGTCCTGTTTTCTGCTCTTAGAATCTCCTTTTCCCTGCTCTTAGAATCTCCTTTTCCCTGAATTAAGCTTTTCCCTGCACTAGATTACAGTATCACAGCTGCATGAAACCTGTTTTCCCTTTCTTGGTGCCCCCTGCCTTTTGCATGAAAAGAAAGGTGCTAGCCTAGGATTTGGAGACTAAGGTTTCAGTTCCCAGCTCCATCACAGATACTCTGTGCGACCTGGGCAAGTCATTGAGCCTCTCTTTGCTTCAATTTTCATAAGTAAAATGGGGATAATAGCACTTCCCTACCTCACAGATTTTATGAGCCACTCAGCTATTATGGTGATGGAGACCAGATAAGTGTCTAAAATAGACTTCTCAGATACAGCTGCCCTGTATTATATGCTCATAGACAAAGGAAAATTATCACTCATCTGCCAGAGTAACTGTCAGCTGTATCCACTTTCAGATTTCTTTACCCCACTATAGCTTCCAGTTATAGCCCTCAAAGGACCCTACAATTCACTCCATTCTAATACATTCAGGCTAATGACCCCTTTTTGTGTAAAGCTAGGATAGCAGGAGAGGGGATTCTTTTTTAAAGTTACTTATCCAGTATAGCTTGAATCTCAGATGGCTCAGGCAGGTTTTGCAAGAGCCTGTGGGGTATTGCTATACAGTAAAGTGTTTATTTTGTCAAAGATAATAATCAGTGCACCTCAGTTGTTAATATCCCATTGTGATTGAACATAGCATTCCCACATTGTGTTCAGGATGTCTCTATCTTATGCCGCACTTTGATCCATTCTGCACAATCCCCCAATCGCGCACATTTTCCAGCATGCACTATGGATATCATTAAATGGGGCTGTGAACTAACTGGCAGGCAGATTGGTTTCATGCTGCTGTTTGGTGGCATTTACAAAAAACTGAGAAGTTACTCCTCAAGGATACAATTTAGATTTTACACATAATGCCTCACTTTGAATATTGCTCCCTGTGCTTCTAATTCTAAATTATGCCCTGTTCTCAATGTCACCCCTTCCCTGCATAAATCCAAATTACACCCATGCGTTGAATATTACTGCCCTGTCTAAATCCAGATTGCCTCTCTATATATGTCTAAATTTATAGTCTCAGTGTTTATGATTGTGACAGCGTGACAGAATGGCAGGTGAAATTCAGTGTTGATAAATGCAAAGTAATGCATTTTGGGAAACATTCCAATCATACATATGAAATGATGGAGTTTAAATTAGCTGTTAAGACACAAGAAAGAGATCTTGGAGTTATGGATAATTCTCTGAAAACATCCACTTAGCCTTTTTGACTGC